TTTAAGAAATCTCAGGAAAAAAAGGGCAGCTCTCCTTAATTCAAATTAATTCAAGAAAGCAAGCCGTGGTTTATAATTTGGCATTAGCTATTCTGTCACATTTCAGCTGAAGCATACAACATCTTGCTAAGGTGCAAATCGCGAAGATGTGACGAGTCTATTGATCAATATGTTACTGGAATATCCTTCCAAACTGAAAGGATGAATCTGATGGGAGAGGTTAATGGTGATAATTAATGCTTCAGCATCAGTGCACACATTCTGCAAAATGTGAGATTTAAATAAATCTAGATCACAAAGAAGACAAGCAAGTTCATTTTAAGCCTGCTTGTAATGTTTTTGGTGCAAATGTCTCTGCCAAAAAGGAACATAACGAATGACTGAATGGAACATGCATGAATTTTCAGACAACTTAACTTTGAGAAAGGAGTACAATTCAGGTTTCTACCTGATTGTGTTACCTGAGGAGGGATGGCAAATGGTACCCTCTTCTCAAGGCATAGGTATGAACTCATTGTATGTTCTGGGAATATATACCTCTAAGGCAGTGTTTCCCAACCTTCCATCCACCGAAGTTCTTGAACTCAAAGTCCCAGAAATCCTGGCTACAACAGAGCTACATACATGGCAAAGGTTGAGTGGATACGTCAGTCACTAGATATTAAATTACATTGGCTTCAGGGATGTTATAAGAAAATATTAGTGCAAAACAACAAAGAGAGAGAGTTTTAAAATCCACACTGCTATCATAAGGTCAGGGCAAGCAATCTGAGGTACATAGTTGTTGTAGATTTTTCAGGCTGTTTGGCCGTGTTCTTAAGGTTTTTCTTCCTAACATTTCGCCAGTCTCTGTGGCCGGCATCTTCAGAGGACTGGAGTAGGAACTCTTGTCTGTTCCAACGCCTGTCCTCTCAAGATGTCAGCCACAGAGACTGGTAAAACGTTTTGAAGAAAAACCTTCAGAACATGGCCAAATAGCCTGAAAAACCTACAACAACTATTGGATCCCGGCCATGAAAGCCTTTGAAAATCTTTGGTACAGACACTGTCAGGAAGAAAAAAGAGGTGGGGGAAGAGGATAGCAACTTTTTTTCAGTAACTACCCTCCCATACCCCACAAGAGAGAGAAGGGAGGCTGGCAGGTGGAAGAGATGACCTCTCTTGGATCCTAATGGATCATGTTGGCATGGAGGACAAGCTAGCCTGGCAAGTCCTCTCTGCCAGAACCAGACCTTGCAGAGAAAATGAGCAGCATTCTTCTGAGATGGAGACGGGGGCAAAAAGAACAGACTTTTAAGAGAATAGCTGCTAATCCACTGAAGGTCTGAAATGGTCATCTATAAGCTCTTTTTCCTGGGTATTTTTTTTCCAGGGGTGGGGGAGGAAAAACAAATTCTAAATGGGGTCACAAACCCCTTAAAGGGTTGGTAACCCCACTTGCTCAGTGTAGGGGGGCGCAGATTTGTGGCTTCGGGCTCCACTCCCAAAAGACCCATGAAATTCTGGAGAATTTTAGGAATTGTACTCCAAAAACACATCTCGGCACACCTCTAGATTAAGGTTATTCTTGGATCCGTGATGGTCACAAAAGGAACAAGTGGCCTTCATGGCAAGCTGTCCATTTCACACACTTTAGTTGGTGGCCCTACTTTAACTCAGGAGCAGCCAATTTTGACAGGCTTGGGTGCTAGAAGCTTACTCCAGTCTCTTCATCAGGCTCAGAGATGAACAAAAATGGCTGAATACCTTCTTTAAAAAAAATGTTGAATCTAGTCATTAGCTTTAATAGAAAAATTGCTTCTACATAGACTATAATTGTAAAAAAAAAAAAAAATGATTCGCAGGCAACAACAAAAATATCTTTGCTCCCCTGTGTATCATGTAGTCACAATTTTAAAATTCAAATTGAAACATGACAAACCTGATCCAAAAACAGCCCTTAGACACACTCACAAGGAAAATGGGTTTTGTAATATTTGGTATCTCTGCATTGAATATGCAGATACTAATAGCATTTTTGTCACCTCCAACCCAATATCACATGGTACTTTGTGCAGAAATGTACTGGTAACGAAACAATAACATTCCACAATTCAACAAGAAAAAAGTGAAATAAATACTGGGACAGGTTGAAAGCATGTACAATGATCTGTTTATGAAATTACAAGGATGCCTACAAGCAACCAACTTTTAATATGTAATAACCTATATTTAATATTCATGTGTTACCTTCCACCTATTCCACTGTGTATTATTGTATTTTTACTTTTTTAATGACCTTTTTTTTAAAAATGCAAGGACATTTACTAACTGATTAGTGGACACAGAGAAAATGATTCCTGTTGTCAGAACACAATTAACAAAATTATGTTGCATAAAGTTATGCCAGCATAAACCAAATGTGGTGCCAGAAATGATTAATTTAAACCAACTAAAAGCTACCTATTCCCCCCTTTTATTAGGTTCCAAGGTTCCTAAAGAAGCTTTTGAAAACCTAGAACCAGCGGGTGGATGGAGAGTCAAAAACAATCACCAGATCACTGCCTTTGGGGCTGGAAGCACCACCAGCAATTTTTTTACTATTAAAGTCTCCTCCTGCCCCTGTCCTGGGGCTCCCAAAGTCTTTCCCAAGGCAAAAGGAAGTCCTAGAGAGCCAGAGAAACTGGATTGGGGAAAGGAAATAGGAAGCTTTCAATTAGGTTGAATACAGTATTTGCAGAACTGGATCCAGTTTATGCCAGCATAACCTTACACAGTGGGATTTTACTCAGGAGTGTGGAATTTGCTACAAAATGGATAGATGCCTGATTTGATAGAAACAGAGTGGTGATTTTTTCCCCCATTCAGCTCACGGTGCTCATTACCCCTTTTTTGCTGCTTCGGCCATATAAATGTTTCATAAAACAACTTTATTATATAGCATTTTAAATGCAATGCCTTATCCTCAGTGGTAGTTCATTTATAACTGCATACTTACTGAACTTCTTGCCATAATTTTCCCATTCTAAAGGCACTTTGATCATTTCATGCTGCTTCTTAGATTTACTACCAGTTTTTTTTTTCATACACAATATCTAACTTGATCTTTTTAAATGGTGGAAGGCCATGCCGTGATAGATCAATGAGAAAAGAATAGATGCAATCAAAGTCATTGTAACTTATTAGAAATAAATCCTGATAAGGAAGGAGTTCATTCGGAACACTTCCCTTTTGATTTCAATGTTCCACAAGGAAAGATCTTACCGTGAGAAAGCCCATATTCAAGCCACATCTTAGAATTTCACAAAACATTTATTGCAACCTGAAAATGCACATGAAATCCGATCTAAATATCTTTATTAAAATTTGTTTACCTCCTATATTTCACAGATGGGATCAGTGCTCTTCATTTAGATGGATGACGTGATTTCATTAGGAGACATTTAGATAAGGTAGTTTCTTATGTACAGTCACTGCAGAATAAATATGCATTGGATATAGCTGTACTTTAGAATGGAAATGAGAGTTGACAAGTCAACTATTCCCTTTCTACAGGCCCTGTACAGTAGGAAGAGTGGCAGAAATTCTTCATGTTACTGTAGCTCATTGCTGGAAACAATTCAACAAGTTAAATTCCAGCCTGGCTGTGTAGCTATCAAACCTGCGGATGGCCAACCTGCAGTCTTCTAGATGTTGTTGTCATTCAACTCCCGTGACTTCTCACTCCGGGCTATACTAACCCATTCAAACACACAGTTTTAGTAAAAGTGTGGCTGCCTATTTCTCAACAGCAAACTTGATACAGTACTTAACTCCTGTGTGCCAGGTAGTGTAACAGCATAAGAACGATTACTTTTCCCTGGATGGAGACAATCATTATCCATCATTCCCTTGTATTCCATGGAGGGAAACAAAGCTACAGTTGTGTTCAAAATTATTCAAAGAAACAAAGCTATAAGCAGCAAAATACAGTACCCTTTGTGGGGGAATCCCAGTCATCTATTGGGGAAAGATGTAACCATCCAACATGCTGATGTGCTCAGGGGATTTTCCTGCAGCCAGTTTGGTGAATGATGCATTCCTAAGCTGTGTACACAGTCCCAGTTCATTCGTCACTGTCATCCTAAAATGGAGAGTCATCACTAGTTTCACAAAAGCACCTGTAATTTATCAAGTCTCTTTCTCTTATTTTTGATGGAATGGGCCTGCCCACGAAAGCTCACATTGAGAGAGAGAGAGAGATTAGTCATTCAGGTGTCACCACTTTTTTTAAACTTTTTTCTTTCTTTTTTGCTTTGACCTGTAGTTTATGAAAGCTTTTGTGTGAAGTCTGCTAATTTCAATGCAGTGCAGCCGAATTCCATACACTGATATTTTGAAATGATTGCTGTTGATGCCACCTAACTCATTCGCAAACTTTGGAAGTGCCTTGTTACGAGCAACCAATGGCTTGCCAGTAATTCGATACTCCATTAACACCGTTTAGAGTAAATCGGTTAGGACTGTAACTCCACGAAGCACAACCGCGTTACACAGAAGAGTACAGAACTACTCCCGCTGGATTAGAACTACTGCATAACGGTAGATCACTATTGGGTAAAAGTAACTTTCCCAGCGATACTGCTTCCATAACAGAGACGGCGCACTTCCAGCCTTGCGCTCCGGTGATGCCTTAAAAGGGGCTCGTCCTAACGCCCTTACGGCACACCGCGCGTAAACCAAGGCGTCTAAAGCTAAGCCCTTTTAATTGGGAGGTCTGTCCCCCGTCGGAGCCCCTGAGAGGACCTGGCCACGCCCCCCTCCGGCCCCGGCCCCCTCTTTACCAAAACATTGACACGTGCTCGGGCTCCTTCCCCCCACGTGAGTCGGGAGTCCTTCGACGTCACAATGGCCGAAGCGGCCAATCCTCGGCCCGGATCGCGGGTGGCAACAAGCGCCACGCGAAGCGGCCAATGGGCGGACAGTAAAGGGGCGGGGCCAGTGGGAGTTTCCCCGTGGCTTCCGTCAATAAGAATAAGAAGAAGATTCTAACCTTTTCAGAAGAAGCTTCGGGCGCCGCGCCTTTTCGGCTTGGGGGGAGAAAACCGAGCGCGGCGGTTGCAGCTTCCAAGGTTTCAGGACCCAAAGGTGCTTTCCTTGGAGGAAGGGGCTGCTGGGGAGAGGGGCGTTCAGGAAAGGGGGGGCAAGCCGGGTCCCCTCTCCCTCCCCTCCATGCACTTTTTGTCTCCCGTCTTTGGGGCAAAAAGGAGGTGAGGTCTTGGAAGATCGTTTGGCGCGGCCTGCTTCTGGCCCCCTCCCTCCCTCTTTCCTCGGGACTGTTTCTGGGCAAGCCGGAGTGGGTGGTGTCCCAGGCTTGCTGGTGGTGCTCTGGGGCCCAGGCCCCTCCCTATACAACCCTCCAGAGGGTGGTCTCTCCCCTCCCACCACCCCTGGGTGTGTGTGTGAAGAAGAGGGGGCCAGTCCCACAACCGTCGAAAACCCCCTCTCCCTCTTTTGCAAGGGGGGGGGAAGACTCACTTCGGCCGAGGAGCTGGACGGCTGCCTTCCTCTTCCACCCCCCGGAATGGGCCCCCTAGAGTTGGCCTTTCTCCCTCGATGGGAACTGCTGGGGGCGTCGACGCGCCAGATTCCTTCACCCCCCCCCCCAATTCCGTGGGCTTTCCGCCCCACCGTTACCCCTGACTGCCCTGGGCAACAGGATGCCAGCTGCAGTCTCGCCCCAGCGGGGATCGAAGGGGTGGCTCTTCCTTCTCCCAAGTAAAAATCTCTAGGTCGAGAGGGACCAGATTCTTTTTTCCCCTCCCCCAGCAGCAATCCTTCTCTCTGCTATACACGATTTTTTGGGGGGGGGGGAGACAACAACTTCGTTTTATAGAGTATACTTTCATTGGATATATTTTGCTGCTTCTAAACGGTGGTGCTTAGGCTTCCTTTAAAAAAAAAGTTCTTCCATTCAGGGCGATTGCCTTTTTGCCCGGGATGGGGCAGAACACCTGTGGCCATTCTCCTCTTCTGCTTTTGCAGCCACCCACACTACTGATGCATACTGCCTCTCTACGTTATGAGCTAATGCCAAAGGTGTGACCCTCTGGAGTTGAGGGTGGTGTGGTTGGGTTTGGAAAGGAAGCAAGCAAGCAGGAGAGCCGCTTTCTCTCTGCTGACATCCTCCACCTAGGCTGTAGGTCCAGTGACTTGCCTGTGAAACTTTGTGAAGCGCTGCTGCTATGCCAAAAAATGTAGATATACCTGCCTTCCTGTGAGGGGCTATGTAGGTTGATGATGCTGTTGGCATAGAGCTAGTTAAGAGTGCTGATAACAGAATGGTAGAGTCAAGGATGATTCAGTTCTCAGCTTGCCCACCAAACCTCTTGGGAAGATTTGGGTCAGTCACTGGCTCCATGTCTAGCCTGCCTTTCAGCGTTATGAGGATCAAGAGGGCATCAAGGGACCAGTACATGACCTTGAGCTTCTTGAACTAAAAACATGCTGTAAGTTAACTAATACATAGATATTTTTCTTCATGAGACTGCCCAGGTCATAAAAGCATCAAGGGAGGCCTTTCTCTCTGTCCCCCCTAATTAAATTCCTATAGTTTCAGTAGACTTCCATTCAATCCTAAAGGACAAACAATACCCATTTAAGATGGAGTCACTGTTATTATTTTTCAGATGCTTTACAGACTTTATATGGGGGCTGTTCTTCTGCTGATAAAATAAACAGTACTGTGTAATTTTGTGGCACAAAGGTGCCAGTCTAAATTTGGCTGGCAGAGGTGGGTAATAGAGAACCAGAACCCCTACAGGTTTGGTACTTTGGTCATTGGGAAAGGCACGACTAGGGGATGACAGAGGGAGAATCTGTTGAACTTGCATCCTGCTTGCGGGGTTTCCCAGAGGCATCTGGCTGGCCACTGTTGGGATGTAGGACACTGAACTAATTAGGCTGGGATGTAGTCAAGGAGCTGCATCCAATCCTGAGACCAGTCAACCCACATGGTGGCCAAATCTTTGTTAGTCCCAAGTGGCCAATTGTGCCTTCTGATAGGCATAATCTGCCATTTGGGTCTACTCTCCACCCCACCTGACATAGGCCTATAGAATCCTTGCCCACTTCTAAAACTAAAAGTCATTTAGAAAAAAACAACCCACACATATATTGTGCGTAAAATAGGACGAGGAAGTAAATAGTATCCCAAATGGCCACTTGCATTCCTTAGATGGTGTGCTGGTCTGTTTGGTCCCCAAAAGTTGTTGGAGGCCGAGGAAACACCTGTATCCACAGTGGTTTATCATACACTTGCAGCCTATGAGTTACACTTTGCCCACTCCTGTATTCTCATTATTACTCTTATTATGATGTGTTATAAAACTAAAATCTTTGTTTAGATATTTAGTAGTTGTGGCAGGTGTTTGCAATTTTTTTGTTTGTTTATTTTCTGACCCTTGTTCTGTCTTCAACATGTACAGCAGCGAAATCGCTGTAGAACGAAAGCGTCGTAAAGCGAAAATAAAAAAGCCATTGAAACGCATTAAAACCTGGTTAATGCGTTCCAATCAGCTAAGAACTCACCGTCCAGTGAAGATCCTCCATAGGGGCGGCCATTTTCGGGTGCCTGTGCAGCGAAAAATGGCTCCTAAACACAGCGGGGAGCCATTTTGAGCACCCGGCAGCCATTTTGAAAACCCGACGATCAGCTGTTTTGATCATCGGGAAGGGAAAATCAGTTCCCGAAACAGGGAACCGATCATCGCGCAGCGAAATTCCCCCATTCAGAACGTTTTGTGATCGCAAAAACCTTGTAATGTGGATTCGTCGTTAGACGGAGCGCCTGTTTTGCGAGGTACCACTGTATTAAGAAATTCCAGAATTCCCTGTGTTGGGATCATCATTCAGAGCCATTTAAGTGTTAATTACTTGAAGTATCAAAGATCTCACTGTTACTTCTTTGTCACAGCTAAACTGATTGGGAAGATGTCAAAGCATTTCTGGGAGCATTTCTGTGATAACCAATACTTCCTCCTTTTGTACTACACATGGATAAAATAGGAATCCCAACTTCACCCACATGCACACAGTGAACAGATTTGTTTAGAATTTATCATTTTGCTGTTGTTCAAACATATTGGTTATAGTGCCAGTAATGATTACATGTTGGGTTAATCTCAGTTGCTGTTTCCCTTATCTGGATGTTTACAGCATAGCATCTGTTTTAGTGAAGGGAGTAGGAAGCACAGCACCTTTGTCACCTCCTTGCCCCCCCCCCGGTCAAAATTGACCATTTGGTGCAACCTGCCATTCTGGAACACTGTTGTCAGGAAAAGAGGCCTTTTGGGGGCAGGGAACACAACCGGACATGACTTTTAAAAAGATCAACCACCATCCTTTACCAACCTTTGCTCTGTAACAAGCATTGGCAAATTGTCCCAGGAGAATTGCGGGATATAAAAGGTATACTGTTGCTTTCATGTTATCTCATATCTTGTGACTTGATGGTTCATCAAGGTCATGAGTTCAAAATAACAAGATACGGTCCCATCTGTTGGATAGCTCAGTGGATTAGTTCTCTGGCTGTGGAGCCAGAGGTTGGGAGTTTCGATTCCCCACTGTGCCTCCTTGACAGGGGCTGGACTTGATCCATAGGGTTCCTTTTAGCTCTGCAGTTCTAAGATGATGATCTGCCAGTAGCTGCTAACATGGTCTAGAGGGGTGGGATAAAAATCCAATAAATAAATAATAGATTTACCATCCATGCTTGTACCTTTTATTATGCCACCTTCTTGGAAACAAGAGGTTCTCATGCTAATGCGCTTGCAGTCATCATGCTGACATAATAATGGAACTATTAAAACTTCATTTTTTGCTTGAAAGGGAACCATGCCTTTTTTGGGCCAGGACTGGCGGTCTCCAGGATGGAGGTGGATTAAAACAGAAGATGGTTGGAAGCCTTATGGACCTTGCGGATCAGAATGTGAAGATGAAAACAGTTGTCTTAACAGCAACATTCACTCTGTGTAAGTCTTTAGGGGAAGGTGTGTGGATGGGCAGAAATGGGGGGGGACAGCTTGTTAACTCTAATGCTTGTTTTTCTTTTTCCTGGGATTACATTTAGCACAGAATAGATTGTAGTTTAGAACATACACAGGGAACTTTTACCTGGTTTTCTCCATTGTGACTGGAGCACACAGGGAACTGTCTTTACCTGGTTTTCTCCATTGTGACTGGAGCCTTTGACTAAACTCATGGTGAAGGGTTGCCAGTGTTGCAGGTCCAACACTGAAGTTGACTTGGTTTGGGCCAGGAAAACACTCATCTCCCCCACTGCATGTGCAGGTGTAGGCTAGACTAGAGGCAGGATAGCAACTTGTACCTTATCTGAGGGTAGGCTATTCCTGAGAAGAAAACTTGCTGTTTTGCCCTTGCTTGCAGGGATGGGGGGCCTCGTGCTAAATAAGCAGAATTGCTTCACTCTGACAGCAGACTACCTACGACAGCTGTCCAGGGGCAGTTTCTGCTGGCCTCTGCATGCAAGCTTGCGGTCTCAGGGTTAACGGAAATGTGATTGGTAGTGGCCCCAGAAGTTAATGGGAAAGTAATCTACATTGAAATCTTTAATTTAAAAGTGTGTGGGTTGAAGAGGAGAACCTGGTGACAATTATTACCCATGTTTACTGTGAGCCCAAAATGTTGAAAGGTGTCATAAATTAGGTTTGGGATTTACAAGTTAAACGAGAACTGGAAGAACGTAGGTTGACACTAGGACACAAAAGCTATTGATTTGTAGACAGACTGTAAGGAAAGTAACTGTTGACATAAAATATTTTTTCAGGTCTTGGGATGTCACTTCAGACTTTGCAGCTAGCTGCAAATAATACAGGATGTCTTATTATTACTCCTTCAAAACAAATAACCCAGATTTTGCATGATTAGATTGATGTGGTTACATTAAGCAGCTGTGTTGTAAATGTCAAAAAATAATGCCTTGATATTCTTTTTAAACATTAGAGATAAAAGAATTAATCTGTAATGGCGCACACAGTGTATCTTTTGTGTGGAAAAGGCATGAGGTTTGTGTGAGAGCAGAGAAGCTGAAAGCTACTTTGAGTTATTTAAAATAATATCCTGGTATTCAGGAATAGTGCAACAACCTCATTATCTGATACAGTGTTGCCATGGGGACTTGGCTGTTTTGAATATAGGTGAGCCATGAGACCCACATCACTGAAATTGGGTTATTACTGGGGGGGGGATCTTTAAATTGTTGGCTTGGAGGAACTCAGTATGTGATCTTTATGAGAAAGGCAGGAAGAATTCAGGGGCCTGAAAAAAAGAACCTGTTTTCTTTCTGAGGTGCAACGAAACTGATCAAGGATTCCCATGGGAGTGGGGAGGGAGAAAATCAGGAACTTTTTCTGCTGCAAAGGCTTTTTGTCAGGTAATACATAGCATACTAGATAAACACCTTATGTGCATCTCGAAAGCTGGAGTGGTCGGTTGCCTGTGGAGGCAGGAAACGGTTGGCTGGCCTCCTGCCCAAATTGGAATGCTGGCGCTGAAGAAGAACCCCAGCAATGAGTGGAACCCAATGAGTAGCCCGGCCAGCCTAGGGTGTGGGCGATGGGCCACTGTGCCACAGTTCCTGCTTTGTACGAAGTGTCCATGTCTAGTGAGCATAGTGTGGCCCTGGGGCTGCGGACCTCCTTCAAGGCTGTTTTTTTTTCCGCATTGCCCTCATTGGATTCTCTCTTCTCCACTATAAAAGTGGTTTCTCCTGAAAAAAAGATGAATGGCTATGTTTGCAAATTTCAGAAGCAGCAATTCATATTTTATAGTCCCCTATCAGCATTTAACACCCCTAAATTGTTGTTGTTCATAAATGAAAATGGATCTCCGGGTACTTCTATTTTTGTTTTTGTTTTTTGTCTACATTTTATATGTTGTAGAAAATAACTAACCCGGTACAGATTCTACTATAGACAGCGCATCTTGGCTAGTATTTTATCCCACAATACTGATTATTAATACATTGGCAATGTATACTGGGAACAAAAAGCCGCAATGAAATTCAGACAAAGATATGGAATATAGAGAGGAGTATGACCAGCATGTATGCTCTTGTTGCTAGTTTTCAGGTTGTACAGTGGGGTCTTGACTTGAGAACTTAATCCGTATTGGAAGGCGGTTCTCAAGTCAAAAAGTTCTCAGGTCAAATCTGCATTTCCCATAGGAATGCATTGAAAATCATTTGATCCGTATCTGCTCTTTTCCGTCCATAGAAACTAATGGGAAGCTGCTATTCCGCCTTCGACCCCTAGAGGGGGATATTTTGTTTCTTTTTTTTTTTCTTAGGTCAAGAAAGGTTCAGGGAAGGCAGGGAAAATACAGTCCAGGCAGTCCAGTACCAGGCAGTCCGAAGACTGTCTCCCAATCCACTCTCTAAACGCTGGGAGGAGTGAGGAAGCAGAGAGGCACCCTTTTCACTGGCCAACAGTTAACTGAAAGTTCAAATTTTGCACTTTCCCTGCCTCCCACGTGGTTTTTTTTAGTTCTTAACTCAAATCTAAGTATGTAAGTCAAGTCAGTATTTTCCTATGATAGTGGTTCTTAAGTCAAAATGTTCTTAACTCAAGCCATTCTTAAGTCAAGACCCCACTGTATATGGAGAACATGATGAGAGGAACACATCATGAGTCAAATGATGGCATCATTGTCAATGGGAAGGATATCAGCAGGTCAAATGATGGCATCATTGTCAATGGGAAGGATATCAGCAATGTCAGTTATGAAGTATTACTAGCTAACAATTTAGCTGCTGTGCAGAGGTGTAGTAAAATTAGTGAAGTAAGTAATAAATATTGTCTGAAAGAAGATGTTTTTCACAACCTGACAGTCATGTCCCTTTACTATCAAACCACTTATCACTTTGTCCATTACCTTTACCCTCACCTGATCGTAGGACCATGTATAACTATGACAGTCATATAGTTTCACTCTAATGTTTGAGGAAGTGGACTTGATCCACAAAAGCCCAAATTAAAATATAGCAGTTAGTCTTTAAGGTGCCACAACATTTTTGTCTCTTTTGGTTTTGGGGTTTTTTGTCTGATAAGAAAACTAAGTTCATGATCATGAGAGAAAAAGCAGCCAGCAACATGCAGTTAAAGATCCAAAAGAAAGTGTATTTCATGTTTAGAAATATAAGTGTCTTGGCTCTGGTTGAATGGATAGTGGGATCATAACTTTTGAATTAAAGTCAAACTAGAGAAGACTTGGAGCAGATTCCTCGAAGAATGAAGTTTTCAACAAAAAACCAAAAATTGGCCTTGAGAACATGTATGGTGCTATAAATTCTTGATTCTATTGTATGGCACAGAATTTTGGACCTTAAGGCAGGCTTTTTAAAAGAGAAGATTTTGAAATGTGGATTTGTTGCAAAATACTAAAAATGGCATTGATTGAGAGCATGGCCAATGAGGAAGGAATAAGAGGAGAGAGAGAGTAATCATAAAGCCCATAGAATGCTCTTGCAATATTAAAGAAAAATGAGAAGTACAGATTGATACAGTTGGTCATACAAACCAAAATAAAGGGAAAATAATGCAAGAAAGAGGAGAAAATAGTTAAAGAAGTTTGGAGACTGCTTTGTATATACAGTAATCCAATATCATTGTTTAGAGCTGCTGTGAAGTCAGAATTACTGTGATGACATCCAGCCTGGCGTAGTGATTTATTTCTGTGTGCCTTTCCCACTGTAAAAGTTTAAATATTCTGCCCATGGCTCAGTTAATCTTTCTGATGTATTTATGAAGCACTGTGCTTTTTATAACAAACTACACCAGTTCATCTCTTATGAATATGAGGGGTTCCTGGGAATTATGGATCTAAAAAGAGGACTAGTTGAATCCGGGTGTACCTGTGTTAGTCTGTTGCAGCAAAGAAGACAACAAAGATTAAATACTAAAACATCTCATTTGACACAGACAGCAGTTCTCATCAGATGTATGAAATGTTACCCACAGCAGACATTTAAACATGATTGGGCAGGAGAGGGATTTATTAGCGCAGAAATGGAAAAAGTAGAAACATTGGCCAGAATCCTGTTAACTTGTGCTTACCAGGGTAGGTCAGCTAGTGTGAATCACAGTGGTGAATTGCCATTATTTACGAAATCTTTGTTACATTTGCTGTCACACATCAGTTGCATAACTTGGCACGTGACAGCAAATAAAAAACATTGGCTTCTTGACTAGCGGCAATTTGTTGCTAAGTTTGTTGCCAACAGGTGTAACATGGACTTAATTTTTCAGCTGGACTCTGGGAAGCAAAAGTTTAACAATCGTTTTTGAGGAGGTTATGGTTGGAAGATGGCAGTGCGTGTAATCCATGTCAAAACCAAGTGTAAGAGATAGGATGTGATCTGTCTATCAGTGGTTCCCAACCTTGGGTCCCCAAATATTCTTGGACTAAAACTCCCAGAAGCCTTCACCACTAGCTGTGCTGGCCAGGATTTCTGGAAATTGTAGTTCAAGAACGTCTGGAGACCCAGAGTTAGGAAACGCAGCTCTAGCTGAACTCACTGGTAAGAGTGCAAATAGAAATGCAGAAATTGCAGGCAATAAATATTGCCTAAGCCATGACCATTAAAGAAACAAACTTTAGATGGTAATATACATGCTACTGTATAGATGAACTGATTAACTATGTGCTGCCATGAAACAAAACCTTTGTCCCCATTTATGCTGCAGGAGTGTATGCAAAACTGGAAACTGTGTTTCAAATGAGTACCTTATACAGGAACATTATTGTTTCCCTTACTATCTTAAAAATTCTGTTGCTTACTATATATGTAAAAACTGCTTATGTTCTTCACAGTTGGGTCACATTGTTTTTTCACAAGTAATTCATAAGTTCAGATAATTAAGATCATGTTCCCTTTTGGGTCATTTCCAACTTTTTAATTGCCAGCTAATAGCAAAAGGGAAAATTGAGTGTAGCAGTTTATGCTTTGTGCTGT